AATATAATTTACCACATGCAATATATCGATAAAGTGCACAATCATTAAGAGAAAGTGCAGGAATAAAATTAAAAGACTCTATATGGTATTGAATAGCAACTGCTGCTTGATGTTTGCATAGAGATCCTCCAAGAGCAGCTATACAAGTGCAGGTTTCAATAGATATATCAATATCATAAAACTTGTTATTTACTGTTGTGCTAAACACAATATAGATATTTTTTGTTTCATTATACCAAATTTTTGGTAAATCAACAAGTTTCTATCCAGGACAAAGAAACTGTTTAGATATTTCTAAATGGCTTGGATATCGATTTGCAATAGCTAATATACGTCGCTTGTAAAATCACTCCATATTTGTTATAACAAATTGAAAAATTTGGACAATATTGTATGCCTGTGTTTGTGCAAATATTATGTCTTTTAGAAGTCCAAAGCCACGTTCAGCATAGTTGTTTGTGTGATTTTTATATAACAATAAATTTTGTTGATATGATAGTGCCCAAAAGGCATGTCGCTTCCAGAGACAAGTATAATGCACTTCAAGCTGATTATATTTTGCAAAAAATTGTTCTTTAAATTTAATATGTAAAGTTTTTATTTCGAATATAGTTGATGCATATAAAATCTTTTTGAATAATGTTATAATATTTATGCGATCATCTTTATATATTTTGTGTTTGCTATCATATAACCACCACCAAAATACTTATAAAACATGAAAAATACAGAGTAATTGAATACTAGTTGGCTAGCACAATTCTAATGCATTGCATTCAGCATATGAATCATCTGTAATAATAATTTTAGGGCCAAGTTGAGGTCCACGATTATAAAATGCATCATTAGATAGTATAGATTTGAGTAAACTAATTGTGTTTTCAATTGTAACTGTAACTTCTGCTTCATCAGAAGTTAAAAATATTTCTAATAGCAATGCTCCAATCGTACAGCTTGTATAAAGAAGTGTAATAGATGTGTTAAGTGGGTCGAATGAGGCCGAAGTATCAAGATAATACAGCTCGCCAGATTGTTG